AGGCTGGGTTAAAATTGAGCTCTGACACTTATTGATCTTGGAGATTTTCTTAAGCTACTTTTGTCTAGTTTTCCCACCCATAATGTGGGGATAACAGTACCTCCTTCATAGGTTTATTGTGAAAATTCAATGTGATAATGTCTGTAAGCACATAGCACATTATCTAGCACATACTGAGTGCTCAATCCCTAGCCAGCTGTGGCAGTAACCCAGAGGCTCTTATCTTCTGGCTCCCTGGTTCTGCAAGCCTCTCCCCACCCCACTACAGACACCACCGCCGCCATCACCACCACTTTGAGGGAGACTGGAAGACGGGGGAGGGGCTCCAGGAATACAGCGGGGCTGTGTGGCTCCCTTGGAAGGTTCAGATTTCCCTCCTACTCTGGGTTTCTCCATCAGCTCAGTAAAGATTCCCAAAGAACAGGGAGGGTTTTGGCAGCTCCTGGGTGAGGCCCCTGCCAGGAGGAAAGGAAGAGCACATACCTCCTCTCCCAAGGAGCTTGATTCTCTGGGTCCCAAAGGCAGCTGCAATAAGCCCCCTCCCCAAAGCGTCATGATAGGGCCAAGGGGCTGTTTTCCTGCCCAGGCTACTGGACCTAATCCTCCCTCCCTTGGGCCTCAGTTTCCCTGTGGCCTGTGGGAACAGAGTGCTTCCAGCCTCTCAGTCTCCATGACAACCACAATCGATGGTGGTGGTGTCCTCCTGACTGAAGAGGTCACCACCTTCTCCTCCCTTATATTCTCATACACTTTCATGCAGATACAATTACACAACCACCATAGACCCATACTCCTAATTATATGACACATCCATACTACCAATCTTCAGACCCACATGCCACAACCCTGCTAAAATACGGATACCTCACACCCCATACACACTCAGAAATACTCCAATACACTCTCACACACACCCCCCACAGACACCCAGGTTACATACCCATATACACCACACACACCCCTAAGACAGGTGCACAATCATGTGTAAACACACACACACACGTAAGAGGAGGTACACATACTCTCCATACACATACAGGAATATACACACAAGAAAACACTCAGACACCCATAACATATTCTGACCCACACATCTATTACTTATGCATGTGCAGCTCCTAGTTTCACACACACACACACACACCCTGCCCTTCCCTGCCTTCTCTCTGAGCACAGGTCTTCCCTCTGCCCCCTCTCTTTGGTACAGAGTAGCCACAGGCTGTCTGAGGGAAGCTGTCTCAGGGGCAGAGGCAGGGCACTGCCCCCCTTCTCTGGTCTGGCCTGGCCCATAGCCTTCACACCAAAAGCTCTGGAGGAGATACCAATGCATAGGCAGGAGTGGCCCCGTGAAGAGGAAGAGGCTGTGGCTGGGAGGCCTGTGGGGAGGCGGGG